AAACTACATGCAACAGCAATAAGAACAAAATTCTTTCCTAGCTAGGTGTTCTAGTATTAAAAGATGTTTTGTAATAGTGATAGTTTTTACCTGTGAACTGACAATTAAAATATTTTTCTAAAATCTAAGGTTCCATGTTACTTCAGGTGTTACAGTACACAACTGACTGTGTTTTGTTTCTTAACTAGGCATATGCAGATGACCCCTGTAATACCATTTTCATAGGGAGGAGACAGCGATAGGCTGCATCCTCACAGCTTTGTGAGTGCTGCTGGAGCCTGGACAGGTAGCTTGAGACATTGTACACACACTGCTGGCTGTAGGGGCAGTTGTGTGAGAGCCCCCTATGTGTAGTGCGGATAATTGGGATAGGCTAGGTCCTGAGTGCAAAGTTGTGCCTAAAAACCAGCATGGCAAGATAGACACAGCCAAAGTAGACTTGCTTTGAACACCTAGCAGGACTGGTAATCTTGCCAATCCTTTATATGCCTACTGCCAGTTTTGTAGCAATATACATAACTTTATGTAAATGTTTATTTCTCTAATGTATTAGCTGTATTTGTTTCTTTATGCTATATCACATCACGGAATTTTTTGTTGTTTTGATTTGTTTGCTTTTTTGGGGTAGACTGATGGTGTGGTTATGACACTAGGAGCTCTTTGGTTTGAAGGACATGGAAAAGTATCTAAAAAACACTGGAAACAGAGCAAGTTGTCTGAATAAAAGGCAAACACTTTAACCTTTCTCAGTGCAATGAGAGTCTGTATGTGAATGCTAGTGAAATCTTTGGCAGGACATGCTTATGAAAAACTGTTTTCAAGAGTAAATTTACATCCACAGTGCACATAGCCTATACACACCCCTCACTCCCAGCCAGAGCACTGGTGCCCTAATCCCATTGTCCATACTCTAATGGAGGTACACACGTAACTCCTGAGTGCACAATCTGTGCCTGTGGGAAGGGTGTGCTGCTGAAAGCAGAGGACCCTGGAGGTCAAAGAGGTGGGTGCAAAATGTTCATTTTGTACCATGGGGCTATTCTTTCAAGAGGTGTAATAAAGAGCAGGTATCCCTAGGAGTAGGGATTAATTACACTTGGTGCAGAGCTCCTCCAATTTTTCTTAACAGGTACCAGCCCAGCTTTGTGTGTGTTCATGCTGTAAAGGGTTTGGGGTGGTTGCTTTTATGTGTGAGCAGCAGAAACCTAATGGTACAGGCACAAGCAACAGAAGAGAGAAAATACCTCGAGTCAGCTCTGTCCCCATGTGAGGCCCTGAGCTGAGCCCTGTCATTCATTCTCTGCTGCTGGCAAACTCCTGATCTTTCCTGCCTTCGCAGCACATTTTCTTTTTTAATTGCTGTTGTGAAAAAAAATTGCTGCCAGTCTTCTGAATGTGTCTACATGCTTGTATCGGTCTCTCTGCTGACTGAAAATACAAGAAGTTAAAAGTTCTACGAAAGTTTGCCTTTGTAGGGGTTGTTCCTGGTGACCTCATCACAGCTTCCTCTCCAGGCTCTTCATCCTGCTATGGCAGTGGTTTAAAACTTTATTTAATGGAGCTGCTCCCTTGGGGTCAGGAAGGTGGGTGCTCAGGTGCGACCTCACGAAATTGCCCCTCTCAGTCTGCCCAGAGGCAAACAGCGAGGGCTCAAGCCTCACGTGCTGGTCCCAGGGTGTGGAGACACAGCTACTTCTGTCTCAGAACTGCGTTTCATGGAGCTATGGACTTTCATCCAAAGCACACTGCGAATCACATACCACATAGGGAATACGAATGGAGATCAGTTAATGATTACACCTGCTCATGCCTCACCACTTTTGGTGATCATGTTGAAATAGCCCTATGATGAATGCCACTAAACCTAGAAAACACCTTAAGACAGAGATGTTTTCCTCAAATGGAGAAGGCATAGTTCTTTTCATTCTATGATAAAGTACAGGCCTGCTAAACCCCAAACTGGGATATGGCAATAGCTCTCTATGTAGTATTTTCATTTCCTGCTTACAGTAGTCTTTATTCCAGCATTTTGATTTTTCTAGAAGATGAGTTCCCACATCTGTTGTTATTGTAGGCCTGGATAAGCAGGCAAAGCTCAAGTGAAGAGATTTGGTGTGTCTGGTCCTTTGTGTACCACCAAGCCTGTGTGTGGCTGTGCTCTAAATGGGTTTGGGTTGGTTGGATATTTTCTGTATGGTAGCAGGACCTGGTAAGCACACTGCCCTGCTGCTGGGGTGTACTGGCAGCCAGATGGGTCAGGAACAAATGTGCCCATCCCTGTCCAACCCACGTTAAGGACAGCTCTAAATGAAGATGCTGGAGCTTATCATAGAATCATAGAAAGGTTTGGGTTGGAAAGAACCTTAAAGATTGTCTAGTTCCAGCCCTCCCACCAGCCCAGGCTGCTCAAAGCCCCATCCAACCTGGCCTTGAACACTTCCAGGGAGGGGGCATCCACAGCTTCCCTGGGCAACCTGTGCCAGTGTCTCACCATCCTCTCAGTAAAGAATTTCTTCCTAATATCCAGTCTAAATCTACCCTCATCTGGTTTAAAACCATTCCCCTTTTTCTATCACTACCTATCCTTGTAAAAAGTCCCCCCTCCCAGCTTTCCTGTAGGCCCCCTTCAGGTATTGGAAGGCTGCAATAAGGTCCCCTCAGAGCCTTCTCTACTCCAGGCTGAACAACCCCAACTCTCTCAGCCTGTCCCCATAGGGAC